TGATATTAAACCGCTTAACGATTTAACAAGAAAGCTTAAGTACAAAGCACGACAATTACAGAACTTGTTACATCTCGTGTTGCTATACAACTATTTGTCAATACGTTTATCCTTTCATCAATCCAGTTCACCAATTGTAAACGCATTTATTATATATAAACAATATGACAAAAAGTATGATCGTACATAGCTTAAATCAGTCGTAAAACGTGTGCCTGTCGAAATAAACGATAATGAGCGTTTGCTTAAACGCTTACACTACACGCCTACGTTGGCACTGTTACTCATAAGAACGTTGGCGAAAAATCTCCAATATTAACAATAGCAATTTTATTAAAACGATGCTGAATTGCAAACTCGTGTAATTAAACTTGGATATAATTTGCTTAGCAAAGATTTTATCATAATGAGCTGTTTGCCCTAATGAGAAAAATTCTTATAATATATATATTATAATATATTTAAAAACTTATCGTTTAAATTTATTAAAGATTTCTAAAAAATGCCTGAAATATTTTTATATTTTATAAATTTTCTTCAGAAATTGTAGAATGAGATTTTTTAGAAATTTTAAAATATTTCAGAATTCTCATGAATTCTAAAAATAATGTAATATTTTCTCGTTACTTCTGAAAAGTTCCAATTCGTATAAATAATATGAGAAATTTTTTAAAAAATTGTGAAATTATACAAAAATTCTGAGAAATTTTAAAATTGAAAAATCTAAAAAATTATAAAAAGAATTTTAAGAAAAATTTTTATTGGGCAGCTAAAACTTTGCCAATCACAAATAGAAAAATTCTGAATACTTCCGATATTTAGCGATATACAAACAATTTCTCGCAAACAGTCATTACTCGCTCGATGAATTAATTGCAAAATCAATGTTAGAGATTTTCTACAATAAGCCAAATAACATTTTAATCGTAATTGATTATGATTGGTCAATTTCTTATGGTTTAAGACTTAAAGCTTAAGTAATTACTTATTGTAGAAAGCCTCTTACACACAAAAATATTTATTATGTTTAACATGGAATATTGGTACGAAATTTTGGCATAGTGAATTGTTATTTATACCAAACAACATTCAATTTTGGCAATCGCAGCATGTTCTAAGCTCATATAATAATGTGCGATAACTGGACCGAACCGTCTCTAATCCGATAATCATCTGAGAATAACATTGTCGAAGGTTAGATCTCTGTTCTCGCGTTGGATGGCAGATTTTTTAAATGGATTCCACGGAAGCCTTCTCACTACGTGCGCCGTAGTGACGGATCCCGCCGGGCTCGGTTGACCGGAAGAAACTCCAGAAGAGCTGCTCGCTGAGACGCTGCCCTTATCGTGATTGTTGGGTTTTCCTGGTTTCTAAAATAATTAATTTCTACTGTCGTACTTTTGCATTGATCGATTATTATTTGTCAGAGAAATATTTTAGTTTATAACAATTATTATCTTTTTTTAATAAAAAAGAGAATGTAAAAATAGATAAATAGAAAAATTTATTATCAAAACTAATTAATTTCGATTATCTAATCTCTACAGTATTGCTACATAGGATAAAACCGCCCAAAAGTACGTCCTTTTTCCTTCATGCTGTATAATTTGTATGTATGTACAAGAATCCGAGTTTGAGCAGTAATAAAATGCTTAAGCTGCTTAAGCTATTCTTTATAGTTTGAACTAAAAATTAGTCAATTTGATACAAACATTCATTTTTACAAGAGATTAATTTTACTAAGACCCTATTGCATCAACGTTATTTTGATTTTAAGCGAGGCACTCAGATCTCTCTCTCTGTCTCTATTTCTTTTTCGGCTTTAAAATGAGACAGAGAATTTTAAGTCTCACTTAAAATTAAAGTATTAAGGGGGTTGCATTAAAAGCCGCTGTTTTTTCTTTGAGCACTTGTTTCAATAACAAAATATATGAATACCTCAATCAAAGTATTTTCCCTCGGAAGCTATAACTTTTTGCCACTTTTCAGGCAGAAGTTGAATTCCACGACGAAAGAATGATCTGTCTTTTGAGTCAATCCATTCAGCAATCCAATTTTCGACTTCGCTATAATTATGGAAGTGTGTATCTTCCAAAGCATGTTGCATCGATCGGAACAGATGATAATCGCTTGGTGCTAAGTCCGGAGAATACGCTGGGTGCGGGAGAACCTCCCATTCGAGATCCATCAGTGTTTGTTTCACGGCTATAGCAACATGCGGCCGAGCATTATCATAGAGTAAAATCACCTTTCAACGATTTGATGCAATTGATGGTCGTTTTTGCATCAAATTATCATTCAAACGTTCCAATTGTTGTCGATAACGCTCGGTGGTGATTGTTTCGTTCGGTTTAAGCAGCTCATAATACACGACACCCTCCAAATACAGAACATTATTTTGTGACCGTGGATATTTCGCTTTGGAGTCGATATTGATGGTTGGTCAGGATCAACCCATGATTTTTTACGTTTTGGGTTGTTGAAAAAGATCCATTTTTCATCGCCAGTCACGATACGCCACAAGAAACTCTTCTTGTTATGCTTTACAAGCAAAGAAATTGAGATGTTTAAACGGTTGGCAATGGCATTTTCGATCAATTCATGTGGCTGCCATTTTCCTTCTTTCTGAATCTTTCCCATAGCTTGTAAACGTCGTAAAATAGTTGATTTATCAACTTTGAGTTGTTGAGACAATTCTTTGAGTGTTTGAGCTGGATTCTCTTCCAATAGAGCTTGCAGTTGTTCATCTTCGAATTTTTTCGGTTGACCTGTTCGTTATTTGTCGTGAACGTCACAATCACCACTTTTGAATCGTCGAAACCAGTCTCTACATACTGTTTCCGATGGAGCAGATTCGCCATAAATTTCCGCAAGCAATCGATGAGTTTCAGCTGCACTTTTTTTCAAATCAAAATGATGTAGAAGTATACATCGGAAAAATAACTTATCACGTTCCATTTTAATTCAGTTATAGAAAAGCACATATGTAAACAAGGATGTAAACGACTGTTGACTGAATTTTAGTAGGAAATGTTCACACTTCAAAATGATATAAGTAGCAGATATCTCTGACCATAGCATACGCAGCTACTGCCATCTAAACGTGAACAGCGGCTTTTAATGCAACCGAGCCTAAAGGTAAAAATGCGTACTCTTGGGCAAGTGTCTTCTCGAGAGTACACACTATTAAAAAAGCATCGCTTATTGTAAAAAACAATGTTGATTGAAAAGCTTTTATTTTTAATTAAATATAAATTTTTATAAATACCTGAAGTATTTTTACGTGAAGAGTTCACATAAATAAGTTTTCGATCGACGGTCGATATCCCAGCGCAATTGATAATGGGCCTAGAGCCAGCTGCTTTGGTACCAGGGCCCCTATTCTTAAAAAATATCGCATACGTAAAACTAGGGAAATACTATAGTATACGTATCGTATACTATAATATTTTCCTAATTTTATGAATGTGATACCAGAGAGAAACTTGAGAGAGGACATGAAGGCCTTTTTCCTGTAACCAAAAAATGCCCCCGCGTACTACTGTCCTGTGAAGAAGGGGATATAAACAGTTACACAGCAATCTATTTCCTTTTTGCGATGCTTTTGATAGAAATAAATCGTTGAAATTGTTAAAATAAAATTTATCAAATTAATAGAAATTTCAACAATTTCAGCGATTTATTTCCATCAGGAGCACTGCAAAAAAATAGATATTGCTGTGTAGTTTACGTCCACTTCTTCAAAGGACGTACAGTAGTGTGCGAGGGCATTTTTGCGGTTACAGGAAAAAGATTGTCATGTCCTCTTTTAGATTTCTCTTTGGTGATACTTTTCAAGAATAGGGGATCAGAATTCAATTTTCACCGAATTTAAGGTACAAATACAACCGTTACAAAATACATGTATCACTGTTATCTACAGTATCATTGTTTCTTACGAGCTCGATCAAGTTTTCAAGTGCGTACTTTTTGCGGACATCACGTTACTTTTTACTTTTAATAATGCAAATAAAAAAATTATTAGATATAATATATTAAGTAAATATATCACTAAATACAAAAAAGGCATTTATACACATAATATAAATGATATTACATACATAATGATATTATATACAGACTCATAAAGTAACAAATTAATGTAAAAACCGATCAATTTATTCGTGACAAATATAGTAAGAAAATGATCAAAATCACAAAATTTAATATATCTCCTTATGCTCTGGATATCAGATACAATGAAGAAATAACACGATTTCAATCTATCAGAAACTGTATTATTCCATTGTATCTGATTTCTGATAGGTTATCATGTTAGAAATCATGTTATTTCTATCGCTATCGCTATTCCTTCGCATTGTGTCTGGGGCATTATTTTACTGCAACGATCACAAGTATTTTTTACATAGATTGGCTAATCAAAAAGGTATGTTCTGTGTGAGTTACAGATGTTGCAACTATCTAACATAGTTGTGTCGTATCCAGTAAACAATAATTAAAATGTGAATTAAAATGGGTCAACATTTTCAGTACGCATTCGCGAACATTAAAATAATTTCTTTTTCAATCCAAATGCATTTTTATTTATTTAGGAATTTCATGAAGTATATTTTTATAAATATATTTCTGATAAGCGTATTTCTGAAAATATTTCAATCTAAAAACAATGCTAGCTTTTTTCTGTGCGTCGTGAATACTTTTCAAATCAAAATTCTGAATAAGAAATACAGTTTTTCAATCCCATTAAGTTCAATTGATTGAGAATCTAAAAATATAATTTTTCTTACTTAAAACGCGAATAGATAAAATATTTGAATAAATAAAATTTCAATCCATTTCTATTCATCCTCATTTACTGGGTAAAGCTTAATGCGTACTCTTTAATGATACGTATTTTTGGGCGATCTTACCCTATATTCTTTAGAGTATTCTTATCTTAATTAACGTGTTCCATTACATTTTTTATTGGAATATTATTAGTTATAAATTTTATCATTTACCTTTAAATAATTCCTATCCATTGGGGTGACTAATTTCAAATTTATAAAGTCACCGCATTGTTTTATCATTCGCACGACTTGCTCGTGGGATGCCCACTTGACGTCTTTTTCGCTGATGCCGACTATGAAATCACCTTCCTTCATTCCACCCACCTAGAAAAGAAAGTTTTTATATTATTTCATATTATTAGGTATTTGTGATCGTAATTGCAATTAAATGTATTGCATAATTACAAAAAGAAAGATTGACAACTGGACAAAAAATTTCACTAAAATTATTCGTTTTTTAGAATATTTTCATCGCTGAAAATTTATTGAGATTTCATTAAATGTGAATTTTTCAGATAACATACTGAAAAATCGCTGAAATGAAACTGAAATTTCTTCGAAATTTTGCTGAAAATTAATTTTTCTAAAAATCACTGAAATTAAACAGAAATTTTTCTGAAATGCTGAAATTTCGCTGAAGTGTTCCAAAACATGGAATAATTTCAGCGAAATGTTTTTCCACTAAAGTGAATATATAGATAATAGAATAATAGAATATATTAGATAATGAAGATCGTGTTACCCCGATAGGCAAATTGTGGAAATATTATACAATAAATGGCATCATCCTATATTGGGTAGATTATCTTACATCCGCTAATGAATTGTGATCGACGGCTGCTACTATCACCGGAGCATCACCCCGTACACTAAATCCAAAACCTTCGCCGTCAGGGCCTCTTTGAAGTTGTATCAATCGCGGCGCGGTCCAATGACGTTTGGCAGAAAATATCGCTACAGGTCCCAACGACTTGAAAAGGTCGTCCACTCCGTGTTGTCCAAAATCGGGATGAGTGATGCTAAGTTGAAATTTTGTCGAGGCTACATTTGCAAACAGAAAAGAGCAAAATAAAAAATATGCATTTTAATATTATGATTTATTTGCATCGAAAAGCGGAAGAGACAAAAATTAATTATGTTTTGATTAATAAGTTTTTTTACAAAGCGTCATACCGATAATATCCGGTGGATCCAAAAGTTCTCGAAAATCATCCTCATTACCAAACCTATTATAGCTTTCAAATGTTGCTTCTTGAGCTTTCTTCAGAACCTTCGCTAGAGCTTGTTTACCTTTCAGTTCGCGGCACATTCTCTGGAGGCGTTGACTCTCGTCATGCAAAACAAGAGCTTCTCTGAGATGTGCTTTGCCTGAAATAAGAAATTCTATTCATATACGTCCCTTACTGAGAATAAATAGAAAGAAGAAATGGCGATGTAAAAATATTTGTTAGTATTTTAAATCAATGTTATTTATATAAAACAAATTTCGCGTAAATGTACCCAATAATTTCCTTTCGTTGTCATCTCTGGGAATAGTTGCGTCCAATTGAGTTTTCCCGTCGCTCTTTTGAATATGCTCCAATGTGAGTTTTGTTTCCACGCGAAATTCAGCGATTGGTCTGTCCAGCAGACCAACAGCGATATGCTTGTGAGCGAGGGCAAGATGGTGTTCGCGCTTCACTAGTATCAACGAGATCCACGTTTCCGGGACGTAATCACGAACTGGCTCGCGTGATATCAATCCGTGGACATCATTGTATATCGCCGCAACCTGGATTAATCATCTTCATAATTCACTTGTACTTATTACACCGATAATTATAAGACACAGAAAAATTGTGAAAAAGTTTTTTCTTTTTTCTTTTCTTTTACCTGAGCTGCCTCTTGAGCAAGATCTAAACAAACATCGACGTTTCTGCTGTCCTTCGATTGAAGCTCCAGTTTTTCAAAGAGACATTCCCTTGCCTGAGCCTAAAATGCGAAATGAATTAATCGTTAATAATATGTAATACATAATATTAAAAAATATTAAGGGATTACTAATTATAAGTAGCGCCGTTTCAAAAATTTATTGCGTCTGAATGCAGAGCGTCCTACCTCCCTTTTCTATCGATCCAAATAATTCATATCAATTCACTAAATTCAAATGAATACTATCACGGCTATAATCAACATGAAAATCGCCGCGCGGATGTACGATTATTTTTATAAAGTCATGTCGATTGCGCTGCCGTTGTATCCCAGCTTGAAACGGCCCTGATTATGTTATAGAATAGTTCTTTTTATGTGAACAACTGTCAAAACAAACACTAAAGTATAAGACTAAAGCGAGAACTTACAAGCATCAACTGTACCAGCATTTCCAGCATATCTGGGCCCAAATCCATACTTGGTGCATTTGTGAAATTCTCATGGATATACCGAAAGGTGCCAGCCGCTCTGAGAAAAGCGTCGACTGCTTGGTCGAGTCCTCGAGCGGTCAGACGATCCTGCTTGGCAGCCAGTTGCGTATAAAGCGCACCGGCATTAAAAAGAATGGATGCCTTCTCGAAGGCAACTGTTCGTTGACAACTCGGTACTCCTGTCAACGAATCGAACCATTCAAAATAGATGCCAAGGCTTCTGTCAGGTGGAAAGAAACGTCTCTCTATGAAATAAAGCTGATTATAATAACGCAGGAGTAACGCGATGCCTGCTGAATCTCTGGTCGGTGTCCTTGTAGCCTGCGAATATAAAATAATAAAATATTTATTTATATAAAATTTCTCTTTATAATCGGTCAAAGTAGGATCTTAGTGTTTAAATATTTCTTTTATATGAATTTATATACATATGTCTATTATAATTCTGCATATTGCGCGCCGAAATCTATTTCGGTCTTGAAATACCATCGTAAGCAGAACCAGAATAGTAATACACTTTATTAAATTTGCAAGCAATTTAATAATCTTTTTTATCCCCCCCCCCCCCCCCCGTACTAATAAACATCTTTATAAGAATATTAATAATCAGATGTTAATGAGAATCTTAAAATTTGCGAATAATTTATTACAAAAAATATTGCCTCAGCTAAGATTTAAAACTGAAACTCTCAATTTTTTTTTCCGGGACGGGCGTTATAATAATTCAATCGAAGTTATTTTTTGCAATAAATTATTTGTAGATTCTAAAATTTTCGTTGATTGCTTAGATTATTATCTGATTATTAATATTCTTACAAAGATGCTTATTAGCATAAAAAAATTATTAAATTGCTTGTAAATTTAATAAAGTAATTACTACTCTGATTCTACTTATAATGACGTTTCAAGACTGAAAAAGATTTTGACGCATAATATGCAAAATATAAGAATTTTTGTATTTAATTAGATTTATTTTCATCGATCTACATTCGTATTATAATACATTGTCTCTTTTTATGTTCATTAACTTAAACTAAATTATGTATATTTGGAATAATATTCAAATCATCGAAAATTATAATACTTTATAGTAAAAAAAAAACCAATTGGACAATCTATGCAAAGTTCTCCATAGAAATTTCTGAAATATGTAAATAAGAAAGATAAAAAAATTATTATGGAATAATATAGAGGAAAAACATGCGTTATTTTGTTTACCTGTCTGGTTTCCATCAAGTCAGCTATAGCTTCTTCATAGTTTTCCCCATCTTCGCTATAATGCTCCAAAATGAAATCCTACAAGAAAGAAAATAAATAATAAAAAATTCATTATTTATACGGGGTGATCAATAATTCGTGACACGTACACGTAGCACGTGGAATCAGAAAACATGATTGACAATGTTAAATCGATATTCTCATAGCAACTACGAAACTTTCTTGGTTAATGCATGCTCGAGTATTTCTATTCACGATATTGCGATTTTCCTCTGTGATTCTCGTTAAAGTGCGTTAAAGTTAGAAGCTAATGCAAGATAAAAATGGTAAAAATCACTCTTGAATTAATACGGAAACGTTCGGAGCATAATGAAGGCGAAATATCGACGTTGGAAGAAATAGCTTTGCACCAAGAGAATATCGATAAAATTCAACTGATAGACAGACACTGCAGAAATCTCAAGATCCTCTTATTGCAGAATAATCTCATATCGAAGATAGAGAATCTGAATATGTTGAAGAGGCTGGAATATTTGAACCTGGCCCTCAATAACATCGAGGTTATTGAGAATCTGGAGAGTTTAGAGAGTTTAAAGAAGTTAGACCTCACCCTCAATTTTATTGGAAATTTACAAAGTGTAAAAAGTCTCAGGTATTTTCCTTTATAAATATTAGACGTTTTCTAATGCGCAAATGTAGCTTTTACGGAATAAAATTATGTTTGCGCACAATTCGATTGATCAATTGATGAATTAAAGAACTTATTGCCTTATATTATTATATGATATTTCATAATTATTAGGATGTATAAATTATATGTAGATAATTTCTCATTATTGATATCATAAAATTCATCGATTAAGAAATATATCAAATAATTTACCCGATTAATTAGTCAAGGTTAACAACTATCAAGATCAGTCAAAGTTAAACTTTGATCAATTGTGCATTAATTGATATAATTTGCACATTAGACACTATTATAATTTTAATAGAATTATAAATCTCTTTCGATTCTCTCTAAACTATGGTTCATGTTTTACATAGGTATAATGAGCATTTGGAGCATTTGATTTTAATGGGAAATCCGTGCAAGGATTACGAATACTATAGACAATATGTTGTGGCGACTTTACCGCAATTGCAAGAGTTTGACATGCAGGAGATTGAAAGGTCGGAACGTATCAAGGCATTGCAGATCTATTCGCGAGCGCAAGATGATGTTATTGAGAGCTATCGGCATTACGAGAAAACTAGGATAGCTCAACGCATTCGTCGTAATGCTGAACATGAAACAATCAATCAAATGGTAATCAAATAAATGATTATTTCCAGTATTGCTATCGCCATTATGCATAAGTGTCTTTTAAATTATCTGCAGTCTGCTAAGCATAGTAAACAGTTATGTTGTAGATTCATTTACGCATGAAAAATGCAAAGACGAGCGTATAATATTTTTCTTAGAATATTACAGAGGAGCAAGCGAAACATACGAAGAACGAGCAAAGCAAAAATATGAATACAGAGCAGCTAGATGGCGAGCTAGAAAATGAACGTTTCTGGAAACAGCCTAGTTATCATACGCCGGAAGATAGAATCATTATCGCTGAACGATTTATGAAAAAACAAGAGAAAAAGCATTGTATTTCGGATACGAGTAATCATTCAAAACGTGTGCTGAAATTATTCGCTCCAGACGGAAGAGCATACAATATAAATCAAGCAAAAGTGCCATTCAGATTAAACGATGAAAGCAATCCCGATTTTGTTGTTCTTGAAGTTTCCGTTTATAGGTAATCATTAATTAATACAATTACATGACAAAGGACATGACCTGAAACTATTTGTTACGATTTTTTATTAGGATCTTTTTATGAACTAATGTATATATTTAAATTAACGAATATTTATATAAGCATTTTGATCCAATATATCTTTAACTATCCAATACATCTTTAACTTAAATATAGTCTATATTTTATTTTGCATCAATGTTTTTAAATATTTAAAATTAAAATTTTCCATTATTAAAACTGCAGATAAACTCTAAGAGAAAGAAGGCAAGTTGTTATTGACAATAAAATGAGACAACTTGTCACATTGATAATTATCTCAAACATGTATACATAAGAACATATTCAAGATTATGATGAAATCAAATATAAAATACTTCATACAAAATATTTATTTTAGAATATAAAACTAAAATTTATAAAAATATATTAATACAGATTTGTCTTGAATTAATTATTAAATTAATATCTATCTATCTCAAAATCATTAAAAGAAAGAAATAATTAGTTTATCAATTCTAAACATAGCATAAATTCTTACATTGTATCAGGCCGGTTCACACCTTAATGGGAAAGCGGAAAGCGGAAAAGCGGAAGCCAATCAGAACTCGCGGAAAGACAGAAGCAGACAAGCGAAATGTACCGCCTACTACTACTGCGATTGGCTTCCGCTTTTCCGCTTTCCGCTTTCCCGTCAAGATGTGAACCCAGCCTCAGTCTTTCTCGATCGAACTATAACTAATGCTTAATTCTTTATTCTTCATTCGAGAAAATACAAATAAAAAACTAGCATATGTATCAATTCAAATATATGTTATTGTTATTATAACTACATGTACATAAAAGAAATATAACATGTACAAAAGAAATAATAATGCCTTATCCAATAAAACAACTAATTCACAGAATGAAATATTTACTTTCAATAGCAAAAATCACATAAACAGATAGTTACAATACAATTTACGGCCAACAAACTAAGAGAAAAAGTAAAATGTCATAAGTTATACTTATGTTTATAAAAATGTATTGTTTTCTTTGGTAACTAAAAGAACCAACTGTAACAATTTGCTTCTTCTAATATCTATCCTTAATATTTTCTACGGCATAGAGATTTTGAAGATTTTCAAAATTTATTAAACGTACATTATTAATGTATATTAACAAATATATATATATATATATATATATATATATATATTAATCATATCATTATTGCACTTTTTATATATGAAGGCATTTGGACACCTTTTACATTGACGTCGACATAAATCCGACTTACGTGCGAGTCACTATAAAAGGAAAGATTCTGCAACTGACCCTACCCTGCGAGGTATCGGTTGATAAAAGTAACGTCCAACGAAATACGACTACTGGTAATTTAGTGATTGCTATGGCCCGATTGATTCCGTGCACAACAATCGTCAGGAAGGACGAATCGACAATAAAGAAGAAATCTAGCGAATCTAAAACAAAGATGATCACAGTTCGGCCACCGGTGACTTCTCGACGAGCTTTTCTCGAGATCGGTCCACCTACCGTCGTTTATAATTTTCTGAAGATAACCGAAGATTCCGCGAAACAAACACAGAAGAAAGAAAAAAAGAATCTCGAAAATTTCGAGGACAATTTAGACGTACCGCCTCTCGAATAAACGGACATGAATAAAAAGATCACATAAATGACAATGATCTCGCAAACTGATTATTGCGTTGATTTGAAACTTACTTTAAACGGATCCCGAAAGTCAATATCTTTGGTCTCTTTGAGTCCCAATGGTATCATCGGCATAACGGGCTCAGTGCTGAAAAACAATACCGTTCAATATAATCGTATATTTTCATCACATATCAGTAAAATTCATAATTTTCTTCGAATTTACCCATCCACATTTTGGTATAGTTCCACTGAACTGTTCAATTCGGCAAGCTGTTCCTTCAACAACTGCAGATTCGAGTTGACAAAGCTTAACTCCAATGCGACGGTCTCTTTCAACTTTCTGTTGGTCGTCGCCCTGTAATGTGATTAATAAAAACTAAAACAAATACAACTACATGGAGAAAATTTTCTTTTAAAATTTAGCCTGAAAATATGATAGTTGTGATACAATAGAATATTGCAAAAATTTTTACCATACACACTTCAGTAAAATTAATCAAATTTATTTTATACTTTATTGTAGTTATTAATGAATGAGAGATTTACATTAAAATTCTCCGAATTACAATGTTGTCCCATGACCAGCATATTTTCAGGGAAACTTTAAGAAAAAATTCTCTCCTTGTATATGTCAAGATAGTACACTAGCGAATTGAAAACAGTCAGAATTTCTTGAAATTGAAACTATATATTGTAATAGACCTTATTGTAAATTGTTGAACTTTTTCTTGTATATTTTCCCATATATTCATGTATTGCTTAAAAAATAATTATACAAAAATTATATATCGCATACATTCAATTCATTATTTATATTTATATTTATATTATTATTTATTATTAGAGGGAAGAAAGTATATTATAAAGTATAATAATACATTAAGTATGTTATTATTGTAATAAATATATTATTATTACGCTTATTGCTTGCTTTTACAAACAAATAATCTATTGTTTTTAAAACAAACGCATTAGTATTTATGTTTTTATGGAAAATGTCAAAATTACATTAAAACATGTCAATATAAAAAAAGTTTTGTAATTCAGCGCACAATTTATTAACATTTTGTATAATGAGCATTCGCTCTTCTTTTGCAGCTCTCTTGCAGCTTTCTTTAATAGTTTTCTCTAATGCTGGTCCAATTTCTCGCTCATACTGTTTTAACAAGTTTTTTGACACGAAAAGAATGTTCAGACAAGCTAACACTTTGTATCCCATGTAATATGTACATAAAAGTCATACATACAATCACGGACACTTTTTGTTTCAATGGTTTGCGGAACATTCAAAAATTTCAAAAGAAAAAAAATCAAGAAATCTTGTGCGAAGCGATAAAAATTAAATGGATACTGCAAGATTAAGATAAATATATAAGATAAATATATAAAAGAATTAATATACAATTTTGTTTAAAAATTAATATAAGATGACATTATTAATAAAGTTTTATATATATATAAGGTTACATATATATTAATATAATAAAATTATATATTATATAATTATACATATATTAATATATAATTACTTGTCATATGTCGTTATTTGTACATTAATTAATAAAATAATGATAAATTACATAGCTTACTTAAAAAGATTTTCAGCACCCGCTCGCAACCGTAGTTCCTTGTTGATCTCTTGATTGAGCTTACTTCGCTTGTTCTGCAGTTTTCCTCTGCAGGTCGCTACCCTCGGATCCGAACCCTGCGAACCATGAAATGCATAGTTAGCGATGTTTCTAACGTATCATATATGGCTCGTAATCATACTACAATCCCGAATCCGCAAAGATTGCTGCAACGATAAAGACCAGTTCCGCTAACCATGTTGATCAACTAATTCTGGTTAACAATTATTATCTATCCTCTTTTCGGATTATAGCTATATATGAGTAGAAACAAGGCGATAAAATTTTCTTACAATATAAACTCTATTTAGAAAATGTTTAAAGACGAGCTAACAACAATAGATGTTAAGTAATAAATATTAATTAAATTTAATACATTAAAAATTAACGGAAAAAAAACTATACCTACTATACCTATTCAATTTACAAAGTCTTCATTAACCATTTTAGATTTACAAAATATATAAACTTTAACATAATCAAAAATTAAACGTCAACAGAAATAAAATTGATTGAGTCATGCCAGTATAATAATTATGTCCATGAGGACTGGCATGACTTTAATTAATCTACATTGCATTGCAATTAATAATTTCAAAAATGATAATTGCTCTTTTGATATCTTCACTTCATTAAAAACTTTAGTGCGTATTGGAAGATCAAGTAAATCAAGATATATCAAATACGACAGAGAACGCCATCATTTCGGTCAAAGTTAGATGTTTCGAATAATACGATATGTATTCTTTATTAAACAAATTTATTTTAGATATGATTGCGCGCCAATAACTTTCGAACACTTTCAATATAATCAGTCTGAAATGCTATTACTCCCCTCCTAAATTTCCCTTGAATTAAATTAGAAAAACTGTAAAGAATTTATTGCGAAAAATATTATCTCAGTCATAAATCAAGATATATAATTTCGTAATAATTCTCTTCTAATTATAATTTCCCGTTGATTGTGTACAATTTTCTAATAAAAAACAAATTGTAAGTTGCAAAACAATTAGAAGAACTGACTGCAAGAATAAAAAGAGAGCACATTTATAATAAAGATGACGGTCGAGAATAAAATGAAAACTAACGTTTAACTGTGACGAATAATAAAGGCCAAACATTACGATTACTTTATAAACAATCAATAATCGTTATACAAATCCTATCAAGTATATTAAAATGTGATTCATCTGAAAGAATTGTATTCTCATTTGATTCTGTTTTTTTTTAAGCTTTGATATGAATCATCTTCGATATTAGTTCAATATCTTTCCATAATAGTTTTGTTCAATATCAAGTATTTTCACACCTAATACAAACGTATGATTAATGAAATTCTAGTATATGATTTGTAATAACAGAGTGCTTTGTAATAACCTGAGATGTCTTGATTTAAGTTTTATTATTACATTCAATCGAATCTCTGTCTTTATATCTCTTTATAAAAATATTTAGTTTATTTAATATTCTAGATTTTTTTCAATCAAAAATTCTTTTTTATGAGGTTAAAGATTTCCGAAACATTTTTAATATATGGAAAAGTTATGATTCTTCTTTTATTATTTTTATCATTATATGGAAATAACACTATTTATGAGTAAGTAAACATATAATAAAAAAAGTTTTAAAACATAAAGTTTAGGATAAATGAATAAAATGTACGTGTTAATTTAATATATTATAAGTTAATTTTAACATATTACAATTACTGATTTGCTTCTAAATTAAGTCAAAATATTCTCAGACAACGTTACGTCCAAAATGCGGACATAAAACGTCTTGAAGATATTTTAAAGATTGCTTTAATCATATTATAAGACATTTTAATGCAGCGAATTAGTAATTGTAATTTTGCGTTAATTTTTTACATAATATTTGTATTTTTTCTAATATACTTTCTAATATATTCATCTTATGTATTAAATATAAAAATTTAGATGGGCCATTTGGAAAATATGAGTTGTGTTAAATTTAATACAAATTTTCTAATTGTATCTGATAATGCTTAAGATAATATTTAATACTCAAAGTCACTTGAAACAAAATAAACGCAAATATTAAAATTACTTGCGCAAATATTATGTTATAATGTTATTGCTCATTGCTATTGGAAATTATTGTATCTTATTCGGATATTACGGAATTAATGAACACAGAAGTTATCGAGATAGGCAATTCATTCCTTCGTTCTAGTTGAGATAATAAAAGAAATAAACTTGAATCGGAAAGAAATGTGTAATTACACGCTAACAAAGTATGAAGAAAATAGGAAGAGAATACGGCCGCGAATTATATACATCGGAAGAAGCTCACGATCGCCGTGTGTAGCCGACTGTCAAGTCCGACTTCCTTTGCTCCTTACCCCAAACCGGAAGTATCTCCTCATGATAGCATCCGGTGTGGCGATTTTCGCGTTTCGCGTATTTAGCGAACTTCCTGTGTCAGCACCGTATTTTCTTCTCTCGTATATCCTTCTTTCGTCCTTCTCGTCCCTCGTAATCTCGCTCGGATCGATCACCTTTGTGTCCGAGGAAACGCTCGCACGATCCTTCGGCAACGGGCAATAATGTACCCACTTTAGCATGATCGCGAATACATCGACAATGATCTTGATCGTACCATCGGAATTGAAACTGTTCTCGACGCTGGTGAAGATACGATTTTTTAACGTCCGTTCATCTTTCTCTTTCTCCTTTTTTCAAATTTTACTTGAAAGTGGAATACAAAGAACACGATATAAACACGTGATGTAGTAGTGACTTGTAAATCATATGCAGAAGCGATTAGAAACTTTAAATTAGCACGTAGATTAAGCTAGATGGAGTCTAATGCTTTATCATGCGGTATGTTTTTATACTTATGTTATTATAATTATTAATAATTTATAAGATTTTTATTTTTCTCTGTAGAAATTTAAAGCTAAGAGTTGTTGCCAATAAAAAGTTTCGTACATATAAATAATCAAAGAGTTTACGGAATCTGCATCGATGTAACATAAAAATGCTATAATATATTATCATAAATGTTGGAAAAATATATCATATCACGTAAAATTTTAATATATGTGGAAGCCGATTCGCTTTGTCGAGCATGGCTGATGATATTCAACGATCTAATCAATCCTTATCATCTTACATAAATCGACTTTTAAGGAAATGTACAATATATCGAGATTCTACGCCCATTTTTGGTTAATCTTTCGCAAGCGAAAAGCGCTAAATGAATTAACTAAGCTCGTTTCAAATTTTCAACAAAAACTCGAGAGATGGTCTCGTTTACCATTTCAAAATAAACTAGATAAGAAATTGTTATAAAAAATTGATTATTGAAGAAAAAAAATTTCTTTTTTATCCTCAATTACGCCCTCAATTAGCCTCAATTACGGAGACGTTAAATGAAATAGAAAGACTACACTCATAGTGTTGAGAAATATTAACAATTAAATATTATAAATAAACCAATGAATTATGAAGAAAAAAGAAAAGAAAAAGAGATAAGAGGCAAACTCGTGGACAGTTTATGCGGTTTATAGCCTTTATTTTAGATATGTAACGGAGGACTAGGTGTTCGCGTTACCGTAATTCCGTTCCACTCTACTTAATAAACCGTCTCGTTAACGCGATAAGTGCGACTCGAAGGTAACGATGGGTTATCCGTAACTGCAGTCGTTTATGCAAACTGAATTGAAAATTCTAAAGGTGCGTCTTTTTATATATTCCATCAATATTTGCTTACAGTTTCCTACAGTGCCGGAATCGTCATTATAACATCGTGCATCACCGAATAGACGAAAATTCTTAGTTATGGATTCTTCCTTACGTAATACTTCCTTATATATATATATATGAGGACATATCAATTCTCAATATTTACGTTGTGAAATAGTTTAATTTTTCTATCCATAAAAATAGATAGAATATTTTATATCGTTTTATTATCTTTTGTTATTTTTATCTAACGCAAAGATAAGATAAGCTATTGTCTTATAATTATTTTGCAATTTTTTAATCGGTGCTACAAATAGATGCTTAGAACGATTTAAGAACATAAATATATTCTTTATATTTATTATTATTGTTGGAGATGTGAATAATTTGATTTCGTGTACAAAGGTCTCAATTAATTCAAGAGTTAAATTTGTTAAATGATTGATAATGATTAGATAGAGTATTTTATTCGATGTAATACATCGCGATATAACACATCGTAGAAAAACATTCATATAGATAGAGTAAATAGAATCTAAAAAATCTAACTCGGTCAATCAGAAGCGAGATCAGAAATTACGATCGATGTTTCTTGCTCTATAGGAAATTATAACATCTAGTTCCTCCTGACATAAATAATTAGTAACTGGCTTATCAGTGCTGTTCGTGAAATACGCGCTCATCGTAAAAAAAAAAGTACATACAGAATGCCCCAAAAATCGATATTTTCTCTAAATTATACTGAAAATTTATTTTTTCTGTTTCTTTTTTCATTTATATAACACTAAGTATATTGACAATATATAATTTTTCTTCACTAGATAAGATTGAACCTATAAAGAATGAAAATTAACGATATGTTTATTTGTAACTATATCGTTCGAGCAAACCGATCAATGTAAAATTTGAAAGGCACGTCCCTCTACATTTAAATTAGGACTTATGTAGACCATATCATATTATTCTCGATGTAAAATTAGATTTCATAGATGTGATTTTATATAAGTGAAAAGAAATTTCAGAAAACAACCAATTTCACGTTAGCTAACAAGTGAATGATTTCGAACTCTAGTTATATTAGACAAAATTATAAGTCTCTTCAATTTTCTCTTCGTGTTATATTTCTACTCTGATTTATCATCAATTAAGTCGATTTATATATATATACACATACACACACATATAAGAATTATTATTATATTTGAACATTAATCTTATTCTATAATTTCATACAAAAAATTAATCGGTCGCGAAATCCCATCAAATTTTGGATTCAAATTTTCAAAAAAAGAATTAGTCATTAATTCAAATTGTCCTGTTGAATAATTCCCAATCGGAAGACACGTAGGTTTCGGGACATTGCCTGAATATGCGGCGACGCGAATGCATATACTACGTTAACTACGTTACCGGATGTTATCGTGCGCTAAATCTACCGTAACTCGCGCGTTATTAAATGACGCGGTCTCAGTAATCGACCGGCTAGCTGGTCGCATAACTGTTTGTCGTTTCAGGCGAATCAAAGCCGGTCAGAATCGGTATTGCTGGACTAAATCGGTATCGAACATCCGTGCGTAAAGAGCAACGTTCCATCACGGGATAGCCTTGTTATTGAAATCTCGCCTGTCCTACGCGTGCAATATTCAATTGAATTTGCATGGAACGTTCAATTACATTATCACTACAATAACAAGTATCGTGAGGGTACGATTGTAGCGTGGTATGCGGTACACGATATGCGTATAAAGTAACTATACTAGAAACAGTGACAAGCCGCGCCTATTTTCACATTAAACTATAAAATGTAGCCATACTGTAATTTCTGCATATCTCTTCAATAATTTCTTATTCGCAGCAATGTTATCATGATCATCAACATTATATTTGCAATCTCCACGATGAAAACTTCATTAACACGAAAATTGTTTCTTTTCCACCGAATTCCGAAATTATTTCTCTTTTTTTACAGAATACATAATATATTATATATCTGTGTTAATTTTTATGTCGACCATGCCGCTTGCTTCTTTTCTCTCTATTACATATATGGGCGCAAAAGCGACACAAGCTAATGACAAATTAACATTTGCATGAATTTTCTGGGCCTCTATCTTTGAAAAAAAAAAAGTATTCAAAAAATTAGGAAAAAATTATAGTATACATTTGTATAATATTTTCCTAGTTTTTCGTACATGTTTCTTTTCAAGAATAAAGGCCCTGCAAGAATAAAAGCCCTGGGCTTCTATTACGTAACAATTAAATTTGTGCGATTTTCATGTAAAGCCCATTCTGCAATTGCGTAGTTGTAAGTACTTGTAGTTGTGAGAATTAATCAATCACAGTCAAATATAAGGAAAATATTCGATTGTGATTGATCAATTCTTACAATTACATCCACTTACATCAACTACGCTTATATGCAATTGTAAAATGGACTTAACAAATAACAACACAAACTTTTGCGTTCGCTGTTATTTCAGTGTTCATTCACGTTTTCAGAGAGCACAAAATACTAAGAGATAATGAAAAGATGTATTTTTTAAGTGTCTTTTCGACAAAGCAAAATATGTCCATAAGACGACTTCTAGTTTTATTGAAAAGACAACTTAAAGAAAACATCTTTTCATCATATTTCTATAGTTGTTTTTTCAGCAAAGTTACTTAAAAGATATCTTTTCATATTACTGAAAAGAGACAAATAAAAAAGACATCTTTCCGTTATTTTAATACACGAGCAGTATGTGGACGCAGTGGAGTTCAGTTTCCTCAAGTTTTGGAAAATATACAGGATAAAATAAAAGATGCAGCAATGAGAAATTTTATCCGTATTCTAATGAGCACTAATGAAATATTTTTTGGAAACGAATCTTCAAAAGAGATTATGATGAAAGATAGTGGCTCTTCCATACAGGAAAGGTTGCACGAAAAGTGTTGCAAGTCTCATAAATGGGATGTGTATTGAAAGTCGTACAATTTAATTTAGTTTTGTGTAAAAATTAATTTAGGTTCTGATATTAAATGTTATATGTGTCAAACTCTAAAAATTAAAAAAAGTCTTAAAGACTAAAAAATTATTACTTAAAGATTAAAGATTAAAAAATAAAGTCTTAAAGATTAAAAAATACCTACAGAAGTCATCTTTTAATTATCATATAAGATTATAAAAATGACGAGCAATGGGACTGTCACTTTTTAATCATCTTTCAAACAATTTTGTGCTCTTTGAGGTATTTTCATTTCCTGATATATATTTCGGTAATATCAAAGAACCTTACAAAAGTTGCAAAGCTTTTTTTTGCTGAGCACAGTAGCTGTTACTCCATAATAATACATTATAAAATAGACAATTTGAATAAATATGTATAATTAGAACTATATATTAATAAATAATATGTATGAGAGAGAGAAAGAGAGAGAGCGCTATTCTGTACGCAAGCTAGATAAATTGAATTACATTTTGTTGATCTCAAGTTTCCTAAACTAATGCACGGCGACTCTGTTAAAACAATATAATGCGTAGGTTGACACGTTATTACTTAACATCGCCCACGGATGCCTTCAGACACAAACATTCGATATTCCTAATTCTTCAGCATTTAATTTATACAATTTCGATAGGCGGCCTTGCCTGGTGAATTTATGAAACAAAGAAGCGTGCGTCAAATTGTACACTGAGAAAAAGGATTTTGTTAAGTTAACAAGTCACCAGCACTTTTAACCGGTGATCGATAAATATGTGAAAATAACAAATTTTGTTGTTGTGATTACTACTAGTTTGCTAACCAATAACTAACCAATATTAGTAACAGAAACAAACTATATAGAATCTAATTTATCTTTTGGATAAACTTTTTAGGCTCGTTTATATAGAATTCATAGATAATCGTGGAGTCTTAAGCCGTAGGAAACCGATCAAACACAGTCTAATATAGGGAGAATACTTGACTAGAATTGGTCAATTTCTTACGATTTGAGACCTTGCAATCGTAACAAATCGATCGTTTTTTTAACAAATATCACATTTGCTTTCCCTTGATTTATTCCTATAACAAAATC